AAGTTGGTTTCCCTGATAACCAGCTCCCATCCTGAGTCTATCCAGGAGCCCCCACCCAAGAGACATCTTATTAGCATACAAAAAGACAAGTATCACTTCGGAGAGCCCAAGAGTTTTATGAGCTGTGTGCCAGGAAAGGGAGGTAGAGACCAAGTATGTATTTTGTATTACAGTAAGTCCCCTACATATAAATGAGTTCCGTTCCGAGAGCATGTTCGTTAAGTTCCATTTGTTCGTAAGTCCACAAAGTTAGCCTAGGTACCCAACTAACACAATCGGCTATATAGTACTGTACTGTAATCGGTTTATACTACTTTTCACACAAATAATACATAAAAAACAAACAAAAAATAAAGAAAACACTTTTCATCTTACAGTATGGTACCTTGAAAAGTACAGTAGTACAGTACAACAGCTGGCATCCAGGGGCTGACATCGAGTGAACAGGCAAGAAGAGTTACTGACTGGAGGAGGGAGAGGGGGTGGAAGATGGTAGAGCTGAAGGATCATCAGCAACAGGAGACAGAGGGCGAGCTGCAATGTCACTCACGCCTGACATGGATGGAACGCACGTTCGCATCTTTGAAAATTCGCAACTTGAAGGTTCATATGTAGGGGACTTAGACTTACTGTATATCGCACTCACTGTCTGCGGTTTTGCTTCAAGAGGCATGCAGGTTAGGCCAGAGCTGAATTGCTCTGGGTAAAAGGAAGACGGAGTCCTGCTCCTTACTGACCCTCCCTGTTCACCCTTCCCCCACATAGGCAACCCTAGCATTTCTTCGCACGAACAAAGGAAGACCCAAAGACCATTGGTCTAAATACCTAAACGTTATAAATCAAAAGTTTTAAAATAAAGCTGACTCTTTACAATTTAAGTTTTGGAAATTTAATCAATGGATTAAGTCTTGTTCAAAAATTTTATAAAGCTGTAAATTATTCACAATGCTAGCATTCAACCTCTAGCTGCTGATTTCAAGAATCAGATTCACGCCTAATGTGTGTTCCATCTACCTACACATGAATTTAACAGGAATACGAATGATTTCATATTGCAAAATACCTCTCAGCTACCATGTGCAACTCTTGCAAATACTGCCTATTTCTAAATCAGGAGGGCCTCCCCAAATACACGTTGCAAAAAACCAAAAAATGGATTCTCAGTACTATTGGGAAGCAAGAGCTAATGTGGCAAGAACTTACTGCCTTTATGCTGAGAGGGAAGAATGAGAAAGTTTACTGTCTTTTCTCTTTCTGTTGTTGAACCCAAGTTCGTACGCCCCACGCACAGTGAGGCCAAACTGAAATGTCAGAGTCTGGAGCAGGGAAAGGTTTACTAATTGAGGAGGTGTCAACACAGAAGATGGGAGACCTAGACTTGTCTCAAATCCATCTCGTTAGCTGGCTGGGGCACAAGGTTTTTAAAGGCAAGGAGGGTAAATGGGGGAGGGTTTTTTTTTTTTCTTACATCTTTATTGGAGTATAATTGCTTTACAATGGTGTGTTAGTTTCTGCTTTATAACAAAGTGAATCAGTTATACATATACATATGTTCCCATATCTCTTCCCTCTTGCGTCTCCCTCCCTCCCACCCTCCCTATCCCACCCCTCTAGGTGGTCACAAAGCACCGAGCTGATCTCCCTGTGCTATGCGGCTGCTTCCCACTAGCTATCTACCTTACGTTTGGTAGTGTATATATGTCCATGCCACTCTCTCGTTTTGTCCCAGCTTACCCTTCCCCCTCCCCATATCCTCAAGTCCATTCTCTAGTAGGTCTGTATCTTCATTCCTGTCTTACCCCTAGCTTCTTCATGACATTTTTTTTTCTTAAATTCCATATATATGTGTTAGCGGTTGTCGGATGCGTGATCAGCTCGTGGACCTTCTTCTGATTGGTTGGTAGTGAGGTAACAAGCGGATGTTTCAGAAATCTTTATCATCAACCTTCTGGTTCCAAATAGTTTGGGGTCTATGTGCTTGTGGTCAGGATGTAGTCACCATCCTCCACCTGGGTTGGAGTCTTAGTTTCTGCAAAACAGATCAAAGATATGCATGAGATTGTTACCAACATCCCTTCAGGAGGGACGAGGAGTCCTGTGTCTCTATAGCCCTAATGATTAACTGCGTGAGCCAGCTCTTTGGGACTCAGAGAAGGCCTAGGAGACTAAAGCCTCCCCTCCCCCATTTTGTTTTCTTTCTATAAAGAAGAAACTTGTTTTGTTTTTGTTTGTTTTTAACCCAGGAGGGCCCCCACAGGGTCCTGCCCACTTTCATTACCTCTAAGTCCACTCAGATCCTCCCTGAATTCTGAAGTGGTGTCTGTCTACTTTATCAGCAGTAGCATCCCCCGCAAAGCCTCAGGACCTTTGGATATAATGTCCAAATGCCTGATATTTCAAGGATAGAGTACAAGATGGGAAGAATTTTTCCCCTGGGGTCTGAACACGGTTGGTTGTGACGAGGGAAGTTTAGGGTTATGGGTCACCCTGTGCCAATACCAGGTACCAGACCCCAAGTGACAGAGGTGCTTGTGCGTTGCTGAATGAACTTTGCATGTGTGTGTCCTTGTATGTGTGCGTCCTTGTATGTGTGTGTCTGTGTGTGTGTGGTATGTGAGGGCCGCTAAAGCTCTGGGTTGCAGGTAGGAGCCCCAGTGGTCCAGGTCTAAAGTGGCACCGTCCCCACATGGTGTTCAGCATCTCCATAAAATAGTGTCTTGAATCTGTGCCCAGTCCCATCATCTCACACCTGGACCATGCCACTGCCCAACTGCTCTGCCAAGTTCTCCTGCTCTTGCCCTCCCCGTCCCCTGTTCACAAATCTGACTAGTCAACCCCCTCCACCTCACTTAAAATTTTTCCGTTTCTCCCCAACACCCCCAGACTCCACTGCAGACTCCTCGGCCTGGCTTCCGTGCTCTGCAGCTCGGGTTCCCATCAACGTCCCCGAGCATCAGCCCCCATCCCTCCGACCCCATCACAGGCTCCAGCCACACAGAGCATATCCTGGTCCTTCACATACCACACTCTCCCTCACCCGCACTCTTCCCTCTTGAGGAGCTCCAGTCATTTTGCAAGACTCCAATTAGAGCAATGCAAAGTCAAAACACTAACTGAGCTGGCAAAAAAAAAAAGAAGAAGAAGAAAGGAAAAGAAAAAGAAGGGAAATTCCAATTCTGACAAGGACGTAGAGAAAGAATCATTTCTGCATTGCTAGACTGGTGCAGCGTTAAAAATCGTTAGTGTTCTTTGGTTTATCACATTTTTGTTTTCTCTCTTTTGGGGGAGAGGTTTTTGAAAATCAACTTAATTGAGGTATAATTGGCTTACAGTAAAAGGCACACATTTTTGGTTTCCAGTTCAAAGAGTTTCACAAATATACATACGTGTGTAAACACCACCACAGTGAAAATACAGAACATGGTCATCTACTTCAGAAAGTTCTCTCATGCCCCTTGGCGGTCAGATGACAAGGCAACCACAGATCTGATTTCTACCATTATAATTCGTTTTGGCTGTTCTAGAACTTTGTGTAAATGGAATCATACAGTCCGTGCACTATTGAGTCTGGCTTCTTTGGTTCAGCGTAATGTTTTTGAGATGCATTCATGCTGTTACATGTATCCGTAGTTCATTCCTTTTTGTTGCTAAGTAAGATTCCATTGTATGAAAATGCCACCGTTTGTTTTTCCATTTTCCTGTTGGTGGATATCTGAATTGTTTCTAGTTTGGGGGCTATTTTATTTATTTATGTGTGTATCTGGGGGGCAATTTTAAATATTGCTAAAGTCTTGCTTTTTCTTTTTATTTTTTTTTATTTTAGGGCTGTGTTGGGTCTTCATTTCTGTGCGAGGGCTTTCTCTAGTCGTGGCAAGCGGGGGCCACTCTTCATCGTGGTGCGCGGGCCGCTCACTATCGTGGCCTCTCTTGTTGCGGAGCACAGGCTCCAGACGCACAGGCTCAGTAGTTGTGGCTCACGGGCCTAGTTGCTCCGTGGCATGTGGGATCTTCCCAGACCAGGGCTCGAACCCGTGTCCCCTGCATTAGCAGGCAGATTCTCAACTACTGCGCCACCAGGGAAGCCCTAAAGTCTTGCATTTTAAAGACATGTTTTTCTTTCTCTTGAAAGAAATTTGGATGCTCTCTGACACATATCATCAGAGGAAAAATCACAATATAAAATGCTATAGACAGCTATATTTCAATAAACCTGGAAAAAATAAAATAAAGTGCTATAAATATAAAGGGAGGACATGCTCAAGGAAGTTAGAATCCAAGAAGTGAATGAAAGGTTATGCGTCCATTCAAATTACAACTGCTGACTATACTGGCACATGAAAAAGTATTCAAAATACATGAAATGAATACGAATACAAAACTGTAAGCTTATCATAATAGTACTTTTGGAAAGTATTTATTTATTCGAATACAGATTTGACCCCGTCATGTAGAAATGCAAATGGACAATGGAATTATTTATGCCATGGTATATACTGAGCGTCCGCTACTTGCTGGGCACTGTCCCAGGGCTGGGAATATATGGGTGAAAAGAGAGGCGAGCTCATATAGCAGGGGGTGGGGATATCGCAGAGATAATTTCCTGTTTTAGATACTGAGAGGTGATTCAAGTAAACATTTACTGGAAATAGACGTTCAACTTAGACGCCCCTTTCTTCTGGAAAGGTCCCTGCCTCCAGGACCGGGTTGGGGGCCTCTGGACTTTTGCTCTTTCACAGGTGTCACCACACTCAGTTGGAATTGATCCCACGTTTGCCCTCACCTCCCACCCCTCAACCCCTCCCCCGCTCATTCCCCCCTCCCCTAGCTCACCTGGGAACTCTCTAAGTTGCCTTCAGCCCATGATGTATGGCTGGGTCCTTCTCAAGTCTTGGCGCTTAGTAGGACAGGAATTGAATGAAAACAGGAGAGTTTGCCGACAGGCCCCTCTATCAATATCTAAACACATTAACTAATATCAGGCTGGCCCACATTCACCTTGCTTTTGAACAGCCAGACCTTTGGACCCTTGTAACTCCTCCAGGTCAGGGACACAAATTAGACTTGCGGGCTTTACCTATAGCTGGCTTTGTGGGATGGAGGGAAGGTTTTGTGTAAGACCTTTTCCAAGAGCTCACCAGATTGTGTCATAGCTTGCCTCCAGGGCCCCGCCCACAGCTACTTTAAAGGTCACTGGCACCCTCCAGCCACCAGTCTTCCTGGCGGCAGGTGCCTTGTGGTTTCAGCATGGTGCTGCCCTGGGCCCTCGCCGTCCTGAGCCTCATTCCTCTGCTGGACGCCCAGAGTCCGGCGTGCGCCAACTTGACGGCGGTGGTGCCCATCACCAATGCCACCCTGGACAGGGTGAGTGCCCAAGTCCCTGAGTGCCATGGGCAGCTGCTTCCATCTCTGGGCTTCCCTTTGCCCTCCTGATGCCATCCTTTTCTATCCTGGGTCCTGGGGTGAAATTCTGACCAGCCTCTGGAGGCATTTCTTTGCCTCCAAACTCCGACGCCTCTTTGCAAGGTTCCTCAACAGGGAACAATTCTGCACTGGCCAAGGAGGGGCTGCCCAGGGGTGAGGGTGGGGTGAGGGGAGATGTCTGGTCCTCCAAGTGAGCTCTTGCACGTCCACTCCTCATCTGGGGTCCCAGTCTCCTTGTTTGTAAAATGAGGAGAGAGATCTGCTGAGTCTCATCCCAGCTGACTCTCAAGGATTCAGCTCCAGCCTCCATCACCAGTTCCTGGCTTCTCCCCAGCTCTCTGGCAAGTGGTTTTATATCGGCTCAGCCTTCCGAAACCCCGAGTACAACGAGTCGGCTAGATCGATCCAGGCAGCTTTCTTTTACTTTGAGCCCAAGCACGCGGAGGACAAGATAATTCTCAGAGAGTACCAGACCACGTGAGACCCCACACACCAATTCACCCTCAGCCTCAGCTTCCGGCTTCCACTCCCAGCTGCAGAAAAACCTTGAGCGAGTCCATCTTCCCTCCCGGCCTCAGCCTTCCCGTTGATGGACTAGGCGGGGGGGGGGGGGGGGGGGGGGTGGGGGGCATTGACTCCAACTGCCACCTGACTCTTGGCCCTCAATGACTGAGATGGGTGACCGTCCACTTCTTGACCATCTTACTGCTTTTCTCCCCTCTCCTGTCTGACTGTAGTGGGAACAAGTGCGTCTACAACTCCAGCTCCGTGACGGTCTATCGCAAGAATGGGACCTTGTCTACATACGGTGAGGCCCAGCCCTCAGGTGGAGGGCTGCTGTGTGGAGTGGGGAGATGGTGGGTTGTCCAGCCTAAAGACGGGGGCCTGGACTAAGGCCCTGGGGGCTTTGAACACAGAGAACACGGGACAGGCCCACCTTTTATATCTCTGTGGCCCCAGTGCCTGCACACAGCAAATAATCAGTAATAACTGCCAACATTGTTGAGCTCTTACTATGTGCCAGGCACTGTTTGAAGTGCTTTATATGGATTAATCCCTTTAATACTCACAAACAACCCTAGGAGGACATTACAGTGACCAGATGAGGAAACAGAGACGTCAAGTAGTTTCCCCGAGGTCACACAGCTTATAATTAGAAATAGGATCTAAACCCCAGACTGGCTCCAGTCCTACCTCTCTGTCTACTACTCCTTATCTTCAGGGAAAACTCCTTATCTTCGGGGAGCTAAGGGTGGGAGCCTGCATTGGGCAGGCAGTGACTTCGCCCATTTCCCCACCATCACTGCAGAGAGGGCTCCTAGTAGGAGCACACAAATGCTGACGGAATTGAACGGACACCACTTTGCAGCCCCAAGGCTCCTGTCTGGGCTTGATTTCCTCATCTGTAAAATGGGGAGAAAGGCTCTGACAGCCATGGTCCATGTGAGGCTCCTATGATTCCACACATAGAGAGTGCTCAGTGCAGAGCCTGGCACACAGAAGGAGCGAGTGACCAGTGGCCTAAGACAACCCCTGGTCTTCACTGGTTGGCTGTGTGGCCCTGGGCACACCCAGGTTCCTCCCCCGTGAGACAGGAACTGTTGTGCCGCCCCCGTGGTCTCATCAGAGGCTCTCTCCTCCAGAGTCGGGTAAAGAACACTTTGCTGACCTGCTGCTCACCAAGCACCCCAAGACCTTCATTCTTTCTGCCTCCTGGAACGGCAAGAAGAACGTGGGCATGTCCTTCTATGGTAAACACCTCAAACTCCCACTCCACCCAAGCCTCACCCCAGGACCACCACTACTCGGGCGGGACCCCCAGCACCCCAGCCCTCCCTGGCCTCCCACTTAGGTCCCCCATCATCCTCACCCGGCCCCCTTGCTCCGTCCTGTAGCCGACAAGCCAGAGGTGACCCAGGAGCAGAAGAAAGAGTTCCTTGATACCATCAAGTGCATAGGCATTCACGAGTCAGAAATCACATACAGCGATGAGAAAAAGGTAAGTGCAAGGAGGACCGGGCAGTGGCCCCCCTGAGGGTGGTCCCACCTTGGGCAGCCTCAGAGGCCCAGAGAGGGAAGCTGTCAGTCAAAGCTGCACAGTGAGGCAGGATATCCTGTTTAAGCACCTGCCTCACTGCAGGGCCCCCGGGTGATGGACGAGTGCCCAGGAGGGAAAAGTCACTGGGAATCAGGGAGGACGCCTGGAGCAGGTGGGGAGGATTGTAAAGGCTAACAGGAGGGGAAGAGCATAGCCAAGGTGTGGTGAACTTGGGAAAGAGACACGCACACGGGGAATGATCATTTACAGCTGCCTGCCACACCCCCGGGCTTCTAATGTCCGTGTGATGGGGAATCAGTCTTGTGGTTTTAGGTGTCACCCAAACTGCAAGTCCAGGGCCACCGTCCCAATTTTTGCTGGAACTGAGCATTATCTGTATAATCTTCTTAATACTTTCTTTTAAACCTGTGTTAAATGCAAGGCTTTACATGGTCTCGTCCTGTGTAATCATATCTGAAATCACAGAGCTGATTTAAACTGGTTACAAAAACCAAAAACTGGCTACACGTTTGTGGATACATGTGAAATACTTTCATGATTATTAAAATAAAAACGTCTCCATCTAGACAGATTTGTGCCACCAGAGGTCATTTCCCGTGACCACCGGTGGCACAAATCATCCCCTGCTTTCGGGAACCCGGGAAAAGGCGTATGAACACAGACACTGGAGTTGGTCCCGTGGCCAGCAGCCTGCTGCCCCCGTCCACTGGCCGGGGGACCTCGGACAGGCCGCAGGTCACCATGAGCCTCACTCTCGTCATCTTCAAAATGGTGTGAGGGGGCTTCCCTGGTGGCACAGTGGTTGAGAGTCCGCCTGCCGATGCAGGGGACACGGGTTCGTGCTCCGGTCCGGGAGGATCCCACATGCCGCGGAGCGGCTGGGCCCGTGAGCCATGGCCACTGAGCCTGCGCGTCTGGAGCCTGTGCTCCGCAACGGGAGAGGCCACAACAGTGAGAGGCCCGCATACCGCAAAAAAATAAAAGAAAAAAAAATGGTGTGAGGAATCCAGGAGATCAACAGAAGGGCATGGCAAGTCATAAGTGCTCAGACATGCCAGGTGTCAAGGGTTTGAGCCTCCATTTCAGAGGTGAGTAAGCTGAGACTCAGAGAGAGAGAATGACTTGCCCAGGGTCACCCAGCTGAAGCCCTGCTTGGGCTGGAACTACAGTCCAGAGCTTACTTCCCTCTTCCCCCAGAAGACCCCCCCGCCCTCCCCCGATCACGTGTTGTCTTCTCCCACCAGGATCTGTGCGGACCACTGCATATGCAGCACGAGGAGGAAAGGAAGAAGGAAGAGGAAGGGTCCTAGCATTGGGTTAGGACCTTGGGGACTCTGCGGGCCCATCCTCAGCCTCCGGCTCACCCTTCGTATCTCAGCTCTTTCCCTCAGTTGCATCAATAAAGCGTCTGTTGTGGTACAGTCAGGTTGTCATTTGCTTGTTCGTTTGTTCATCTGTTCATTCATGTTGTGCCCGCCTCAGTTGAGCCGCGGCCGACCACTGCCCTGAGTTGATCCTTGGTTGGAAGGGCCCTTGCTATAATTCCCAGCACCTGTGCCAGGATGGATGACTATATGCACTGAGTGCTGTGAGAGCCCAGCACGGGGAAGCTTCCTTCTCCAGTGGGGAAGTCTGGGAAGGCTACCTGGAAGGGGCATCTGAACCACTCTAGAAAGATTAGGAGCTTGATAACACCTGCTGTTCCCACTGCAAGCCAATGATCTGTTTAAGGAACATCGAAGCGGAGGACCCTGAAGAGGAGTTCAGGTAGATAGAGGGCGGTGAGGACCCAGGAGTGTGGTGCTGAACACAAGGGCCCTTACTTTATTATTTATCTATTTATTTATTTTTAAAAGATGAATCAGTTTGGTTTTATTTCTGCTCAATTCATGAGATATCGTCAAAATTTCACCATTCATATCAAAATTTCTCCCAGGTGTCACCAAGAAACTGATGATCAATATTTTTTAAAAGAGTTTTCAAGAATCTTATCAGATCATATCGCGTTTCCTAAAGTAAATCCTTTCAGGAATGAAGGAAAGTTTCTCCTCTTAAGTACATGAAATAGAGTCCCTGTCACTTGATTATGAAGGTCACAGGGGTGCCCTGTTACCAAGTCAGGAAGCAGGCTGGCCCACGCACGGCAGCATCCCCAAGTAGCTGGGTCTGGAGGGAGAAGGAAAAGGAAACCAAACCTTAATCCTGAACCAATTAGGGTGCTTTCCACAGAGCACAAAATTCCACGGTTTTCTGCTTATCATCTTCATTTTGGTCTTGCTTACATACAAAACAACCACGCTCGCCTGCCTAGTCTTCATCTGTAAGTAGATCCTCATCCGTCCTTAAATCAGGCGAAGTTAATTGTGGACATGTCCGAGCATATGGACTGTGCCAGGCTTGTGCTCACCCACAGAATTACCTACCTAGAGCCCAGGGCTCCATCAGAGAAGGGAGTCTGCCTCAGCAAACAGTGGATACGAAAAGAGAGCAGTCTGAGCAGAAGGAAAACACTGAGCTTATTCTACCTCAAAACATCACCAGGGGGCGCTTCCCTGGTGGCGCAGTGGTTGAGAGTCCGCCTGCCGATGCAGGGGACACGGGTTCGTGCCCCAGTTCGGGAAGATCCCACGTGCCACGGAGCGGCTGGGCCCGTGAGCCATGGCCACTGAGCCTGCGCATCCGGAGCCTGTGCTCCGCAACGGGAGAGGCCACAACAGTGAGAGGCCCGCGTACCACAAAAACAAAAACAAAAACAAAAAACATCACCAGGAGTTAAAATAAAAGACGCGTTGTTAGTCAGAGGTCCATGCAGGTGAGACAGGAGGGAGACTCGTGTAAACACGAGCACGTTTGGACCACCGTTCATTTCTTTCAGACTCAGCTGTATGTTTTCAGTTTTTCACCCAGCAAGGCTTGCCCAGTTTGGACACTGTTGAGGAGGAAACTGGTTTTAACGTCAGCACGTCACAGACAACCTCCCTTCCTGACGCCCCCTACTCCCCACGTGTCCCCACGTGTCTTCTTCAGCTCTGATCTAAGCCTGGGCCCCTGGGAAGGGTCTGGGGCTCGTTCACACTCGGGAACAAAATGGAAAGATCAGTCTTTCACTTTGCGAGGGAGCTGGGACGATCCTGACGAGAGTGGACATGGTGGGATAAAGGCATGGACAGGGCAGGAGTGAGGAGACCGCAGTTGGGGAGCAGCTACCCTGAGGGCACCTGGTGAGCAAGTGAATTGCAGCAGAGGCCGCAGGCCCTGTGGAGCGGCTCTGGAGGTCCTGGTGTGAGATTGCAGGGGGACTGTCATCCGAGCTCCCTTTACTGTGTAGGGCCCTTACCTTAGATGTCAGCCTGGCCATCTGGGGAGGCGAGTTAGGAGGGCCCAGACCGGAGGCAGGAAGACCTACACGGAGGCTGCTGTGAGCATCCTGGAAGAGGCGGGTGTCTGGGCCAGGGCAGGGGCAGGATGGGTGAGACTCAGAGGACTTGGGGCCAGGCCAGAGGGGCTGTGTGTCTCCATGAGGTGTCCCCAGAGTGCCCACCTGACACCCAGGAGGAAGGTAGGATACCTAGGGTAAGGTTGGTCCCTCGAATCCAGCCATCTTGCAAATGTGTTTGGAGCCCTCGCCATGGGGCCACGTCTGAGGCTGGCCCACTTAGAGGCATAAAGAGGACTGAGCGTCTGAAGCCAGGATTCCAACAAGGAAGGATGGTCTCCTTCCAGACACAAGGGCTTTGTGATGGTCATGTGAGGGAAGCAGCACCACACAGGTGGCAGAGAAATTGGGCTGAATGATTGGAGTAATTCTATGTGCAAGCGTCCTAAGCCATTTGGAGTGACAGGACCATAACCCTGGCTCCTGACACCCAGTCCTGTGGCCCACGGGCCAGTGTCCTCCAAAGAGCCACAGAACCAAGGCTTCAGCATCCTTTGTTCAAAGCTGCAGCCATGGAGACACTGCTCTGCCCCCCACCTCGGGCTCCCCCTTCCCATCCACCTTCCCGTGAGGTTGTGGATCTGGAGGCTCAGAACCAACAAGAAATCTCCCATCTCGGCAAGATGCTGTTTTCAACTCTCCTGAGAAGGATCAGCTGGAAAATGAAATAGAAATGAGTCCTGGAGGGCCGGGAGAAGCAAGTGAGTTGAGAGGTGGGGAAGACTGAAGAAAAGGCCAAGGGAAGGGGAAGCAGGAGCTGCGGAGGAGAAAGTCATGGAGGTTTAAGGAGGAAAGAACAGTGACAAAGTATATGGACTTTGGAGTCAGACCATCGTGAGTTCGCGCATTCGGAACCTCGGTCTCCTCATCAATAAAATGGGCGCACAGTGGGTCACTTAGCTCAAGGATTGGCATCTAGGAGGCGCTCAGTAAATGGCAGCTGTGGTTGCTGTTTGCTGCCAAAAGGAGCACTGGAAAGAGAGTCCGGGCTCGTGCTCTTGCAGACACCAATTTGCTGTGTGTCACATAAAAGAAGCTTGGTCAGACGGCCTCTCCTCGCAGGCCCCTCCAGTGGAAAGCTTTATGGTTCTGAGGGGGAAAGCTGGAGAGACAGAAGGCACTGAAGGGAGGTAGGCAGGCAGTCTGGAGATGTGCACCCAACCGGTCCCTCGGGAGAGGGCTCCACTTGGCACCAAATCTTTCACCCCACAAACTTGACTTGAGAAACCACAAGTGGATGACACACACCACAGATGTGGGTGGCTTTGGGAATGTTTTTGGTTTTGGCTTTCATTTCTTAAGATCAATATTCACTCTTCTTTATTTGCTCTCATAACGAAAATAGATTTTTTAATGTCCCAAATATACAAATATCACTGACGCACACACATACCAGAAAAGCTGAAGTCTGAGCTGCTACAAGGTCAGGGAGCAGGAGATGGCCTGGCCTCATGGCCACAGACAAGGACCTGGCAGGAAGCTGGCCGCTGGCTCAATTCCACGGGGGTCCCAGGGTAGAGCCGGGGGTCTCGGGATGAGGTACTGAGGGGGACCATGGTGGATGGCTTTCTGGGCCCTCCGGGGGGTGTCTCCATCCCAGCAGACCCACGGGAAAGGCCTCTCAACTATGGAGAAGCTGGGTGTGTGTCATCCTGAGATATCCCAATGGCCTCAAAGTGCCCCACTGACCACCAGTCACCAGGAGAAAGGTCCCCACCACGTCCTTCCCAGAGACACCTACTCTGGAGTGGCTGGTCACAGGTGGTGGACAAGTTTTCGCCAGAGACCCTGGCCCTGTCCCTTCTTATCTGGCCTCCTAAGAAGAATCCAAGACCAGGAAAATGCTTCAGTTTGAAAAACAGGAATCTGTCCATCCATATATAAAATACATATTGTTAGCCAGAGATGGACACATGCAGGACCAGGAGCCTCCCAGAGATGGCATCTGGACAGATGGTGGCCTCAGTCCCAGCACCTCCTTCAGGGCTGGTCCCTAGGAAGTGACTTCTCTGGAGGACCAGCTGACACCCTTTCCGTTCTGGAAACACGGAGGCTGAGCAGGCAGGGCCGGTGCGGAGGGAGCCCTCCTCACGAGGGTCTGCGGGGCTTCCAGGGCGACAGGGACTGCCCAGCCCTGCCCCCCGTGCGTCTCTGAGCCTTGAGCGCAGTCAGAAGAGGCAGGAGCCCCGCAGGCCGCGGGCCTGGCGCAGGTCGGCCGACAGGGAGCGGCTCATGAGCTTGGTGGTGGAGCGGACGCTCTCGGCAGCCTGGACCGCTCGGCTCAGGGCCTTGTTGAGCTCCTCCAGGTCCAGCTGGATGGAGTGGCGGGGTCTCCCGGCCGGCCGAGCGGAGACTGCGGGGGGCCACTCAGCAGCTGCTCGGGCTGAGGTAGGTGCTGCAGGCGCGTAGTACCTGGGGAGAGACGCGAGTGCGTTCACTGACTGCGGAGAGGGCTGGGGGCTTCTCAGCCCCAGCTCGGCCCCTACATTCTGAGTCTCAGTTTCTTCACCTCTAAAATGGGAAAAAGGAGCCCCGCTGAGGGATGTGTTAGAGGGGTGAAGCAAGGTAAACGGGAGTGCCTGAACCAGAACAGTCCCCCAAAAATGGTCTGTTTCATCTACCCGTTCATTGAACAAATGCTAATGGAACATATATGTGCCAGCCAGTGCACTAGGGCCTGAGGTCACCGTGGTGAATAAACAACACGGACCCCGCCCGCCGCCTTCTTGGAGCTTCTAGTCTGAGAGCCTGGGAGACCAGGCTCACCCCAGGCTCTGGAGCAAAGCCCCTTCATCAGAGAGGTCATGTATGGAGCCCTATTTGTCAGGTGTGGAGCGCTGGAGAAACGTGATAATAATAATTAGGATTCTGCAGGAGTGAGAGGGTCTGGCTCCACTCATCCCCCCCAGCCTGGTCCTGCAGGAATGTATGGTGTTGTTTAAAAGTTCTGGGGGGCTTCCCTGGTGGCGCAGTGGTTGAGAGTCCGCCTGCCGATGCA